TCTTGTGTGCTTTTGTGGAGTCTTTCACAGGCAGCAGTGGGAAGTTCACTGTTTGGTGTCTTTTGTCTGCAAACTGAGATCTGGACAGTGGGCCCAGAAAGCAGCTGGAAATGTAGACGGGGAAAGAACAGCCTTATGTAGAGGATGAGGTAAGAATTTAGGTGGATAAATTAAGTTTTTTCTTATATTGTTACATCACTTTCCCTCCCACTGCTTTAACCCAATCTAAAGGGAAAAGACAGGACCCAAATGAGCCCAAATTAGGCAAAGTTTGCATAGAGCTTTTTAGGGTCACCTGCAAGACAGACTCAGGACCACTGGAATTCCTGTGTTAGTATTGCTGGAGATCGTTGGAGTGGAGCTGGCTGACAAGAACTCTTCCCATGCTGGCTCTGAAGGGCCAGGGAAGGTTTTCAGAACACAGCTCGTGTGGTTTTCTCAGTCATTAGTATCTATTCCATTAGGGGTCTGTATCACTGTATTTCCCTGCTGGTGCAATGGCCAATCTTGGGCAAACACCTCTGCTACTTCTGCCATCATGACCCCTTTTTATTGCCTCACCATTACAGCTTAGGAATAATCTGTTTTCCTTCCTCTCACAAGGAAGGAAAGGCTTCCTTCCTCATACAACAGCATGGCAAAAGATGGAGAACTGAACCCAAAGACCAGAGGGCAAAGGACTCTAACCTGATGATTTCAAGGCTTGCCTGTTTTCTGTTGACACAAACCCAGTGAAACAGCCTTGTGCGGTTTTAGATGCTAGTGTTCTGTTCTAATGCTCTTTTCAAAAACTTTATCTTTGAGGGGGAAATAATGGTTGGGTAGGTTTCATTCAACTTAGGAAACCTGCATGGAAAGAATATATTGCAGGGAACTTAAAAAAATTTTTTTTGTAATTGATATATTGTTCAGAGAGTATCATATGCTTAGTATTTAGCGCCCTAATCTTTAAGATGTTTGTAATGCTCAGGTATTTCTCTAAGTGTTTTACAGACATCTGCAGAGTGTTTTCATCAGCAATCTCGCATAACAGAAATAAAAGCTGTATGCGTTACGCATTGCCAGGTGTGTATGGGTATCTAAATGCATATATGTATTTGTGTGCATCTGTAAAATGCAACCTGTGTACAGATATTAAACACATCCTCTCTGGAATTACTGTGTGACTTGCATATTTGGAGGCAAAGGTTCTGAATAAAGAATAACCTGTCCAGAATAGAGTGGAATTTACTGCAGTTGCTGTGGGTTTTCAAAGCAATGGCTGCAGTCAGAATCTGGCCTAAGTAATTAACTTACGAAGGATGGAAAGGAAAAGCAGCATGTGGAAGATGTAATTAACGGGAACATATAACAGTCAGCTCTCACATAATAAATTGGCAGCTATGCCTGAGGTAACTGCCTTTTATTTGCAAAATACAGTTGGAATTTTTTAAAAGTAATTGCACATTTTCTTCCATTTCCATGTGGTCCCAGAGAACATAGTACAGTACAAATACCAACAGAAATGCAATAAAATCATGGAGGGTTTTCTTTTGTTGTTGTTGGGGTTTTTTTTTTTGGTTGGTTGGGTTTTTTAGGTTTAGGGCTATGATCTTGTTTGAGCCAATGTCCAAAGGAAAGGACGAATACATTTTAGCTCAGGAAAAGACAAGTGGTAAAACATTTTAGTGAGGCTTAATATGGAATAATCTAAAAGGACAAGGCAGGAACAACCAGAATAAATAACAGTAAATGGCTAGATATCTATTTGCAGAAGAGATTTAGCAATGTAATTCTCCTGACTCAAGTAAATAATGGTTAAGATAAATGTTCTGAAATCATTCCATTTTGAAGGCTTGAATTTTCCCCGTCTAAAAGTTTATTGCAGCTTTTCCTGAACAGCAAGCATGATGTCAGTTGTTCTTTAAATACACCACAGATGCTGGCAGATATTCAAGAAAATGCATTCTACAACTTGCCTAGTGCAAAGCTCTGGAAGGCTGCAGGATGACACAATGGCTCCCCACACCCAGCTGCTGATTGAGCTGACTCAAAGAGCCTGCTAGAAAAACAGTGCTGTAGTCTTCCCCCTCAAAAAAATTTGTAAGAGGAAGGTGAAGACGGCTTGCAACTTGGAGTTTGCTGCTGTGACCAAACATACAAGTTACTAGACTTTTTAACTGCTGTTTCCAGGCTTCTCAATGAAGTAGAGGGAGCTGCATCTCATTCCTGCCTGCTACCTGGCATATGTGATTCCCCTTTACACACAGGTGGGGAGGTAGACTACTCATCATTAAGTGCTTTGTTTGTCTGTTTGGGTTTTCTTTTTTTTAAGCAATCTGTTTGTTGTCACCCCTGATAATGGCGAAGGCAAGTCCAAATCTATTCTATCCTAAGCGTGAGGGAGGATCTAGCCTATTTTGTCTGTGAGTGAATGGGGATGGGATCTAGCAGTAAAAACCTAGCATTGGACAGAGTTCTTATCACAGTAAATCTGATTAGAAGCTTTACTGCTGTTTAAAATGGAATAGCCTGAAGACCAGGAAATATAGTTCTCTGTAAAATATTCCTGCTAAAAAAAATAGTCTCTGTATTGCTGACCCCAGGGAATCTTGCATTTGCTGCAGGCTGAGCCTCACAGGCGGTTTGTTGCTGAACTAAGCCCTTTAAACAGACAGCAAGTTTTAAAAAGTACATCCTGCAATTTTTGTGCTGATGAATTTAGAATGATGTTCTAGCAAGCTCAGTACACTCCAAATTAATTAGCAAGGATCCTTTTAACAGGATAATTACTATATCAGCAAGTGGTAAACTCAAAATGAATGTGAGTAGTCCTGGCTTGCATCAACAAGGAAGAGATGCGTTGCAGTTCTACCAACTGATTCTAAATTCACCCTAGTGTGAAAGGTTTTAGACAGCACAGCTGGTCAGCAGCAGCACTCTAGCTTTTTATTTCTAGACTTGAATTAAAATCCCAAAGGAAGCTGCATTCCACTCTCCGTATGTCAATCTCACAATGCCATGAGGAATGATTATTGGCTTTTTATAATTTCTGCTTGGAAAAAAGGCCCCAAATAAGAAGAGCAGGAGGTGTTGCACATTATTACTAAAGTATAAGCGTTAGAAAGGGCTATGAAGTATATGAGACTTCCTTCCTTCTTTATGGCTGTGCATTTTCTTCTTTCATAATGGGAGGGTCTGATCCTGCATAGAACAGTAACAGCTCGCAAATATAAACACAAGTTCACATGTTTAGGGGTTGGAATTTTTAAATGGGTTAATCTTTCAAAGAATAAACATGTAATTGCTTATCAGGCTATGGATAAATAAGCATATGACTGCTGCAGTGGTGGTAGAATCCGGTCTGGGGAATGAATAGAAGTGTTTCTGTCTTTAGATAGCGGAGGCTTTAGAAAATAAGGTTTAATTGGGAATTTTTAATAAGGGAAGTTACTTTAATTAGGTCACTTCATATTTGCTAGATTTTTTTTTAATATGCTTTTCTGCACTTTTACAATGGATGCAAAAATTTGTAAAAGCACCTGCCATTTCCTATGAGAATATAATTTTTAGGCAGATTTTAAAAAAATCACTTCTCTCACTTTCAGCTTCTGTAAGCTAAGCCTGGCAAAGTTAATGGTTTTACACTGATGTAATGTGTGTTCTTGGGAAAAATTTATCAGGCCCTATGTTGTTCACTCCAAATGTCAAAGTAGTAAATGAATAATTATTAGCTATTTCTTAAAAATGGATCTTGACACTCAACAGACCAGACAATCTCTCAAGTTACTTCATGGGACATTGTGGTGCTTTATGAAATGTGATGCACAAGCCTGAATCCTTTTGTCTAGATTGTCTTGTCGAACTTGATCAGTGCCGTTTTCTTTGTAGTTAGATCATATGCCTGAGTCAGGCCACTTTTAAAAATCATGTAAAATGGAGACATGTTAAATTTGTCTCAACTGCAAACACAATGAAACCAAGGGGGGGGGGGGGGGGGG